CAAAGACAGCCAAAATAAATGAGGAAGCATACTGTGTTCGAGGATTCAAAGACTCAGTATAGTCAGGATGTTTATTGTTCCCAGATTGACCTATAGACTTAATGTAATTCCAGTCAAAATCTCAGTCAGATTCAATGTAGCTATAGATAAACCGATTCTAAAATTTTTATGGAAGGGAAAACTAGAATGGCCAAAATGGTTTTGAAAAAGAAGCAAAGTGACTCAGCCATTAGAAAGAACAAAATAATGTCTTTTGCAGCAACTTGGATGTAATTGGAGGCCATTTTGCATGTCCTTGCCTGTAAGTGGGAGCTAGGCTAACGGTCTGCAAAGGCATGCAGAATGCAAAAAGGACAGTGGAGACTCTGAAGGGGGCGGATGGGAAAGAAGGGAGGGTTGAAAAATTACCTGTTCCATACAGTGTGTACTAATGGGGGTGGCAGCTACACTTAAAGTCCAGACTTCTTTACTACCATACAAAGCAGCCATGTAACCAAACTCCTATTAAAGCTATTAAAATAAAAGTAAGGCCAGGCACAGTGGCTCATGCCTATAATCCCAGCACTTTGGGAGGCCGAGGTGAGAGGATTGCCTGAGCCCACAGGTTCGAGACCAGCCTAAGCAACTTGGCGAGGCCTCATCTCTACAATAAATCAAAAAATTAGCCGGGCGTGGTAGCGCACACCTGTAGTTCCAGCTACTTGGAAGGCTGAGGTAGAAGGATCACCTGAGCCCAGCAGGTTGAGGCTGTGGTGGTCGTGAGTGTGCCACTGCATTCCAGCCTGGGTGACAGAGTGAGACTCCAATTTTAAAAAATAAAAAATGAAGTATATTTTTTTAAAAAAGAAAGCAAATTGGAGGTCTCACACTACCTAATTTTAAGTCATAATATAAATGTAATTAAGACAGTGTAATATTGGTGGAATAATAGGTACATAGAGCTATGGAACAGAAGAGTCTAGAAATAGACAAATATGATAACTGATCTTTTAGCAGTGCAAAGGTTGTTCAATGGGGAAGGGATTGTCTTGCCAACAAATGGTGCTGTGCCAACTGAATGTCATCATACCAAAAAATGATTTTCTCATATGAAAAATTAACTTAGAATCAATCGTAGACCTAATTATAAAAGGCAAAACTAGAAAACTCTTGAAAGTAAATATGGGATAAACTCTTCATGGCCTGGGGTTAGATAAAATGTTCTTAGAGTATCAAAAGCACTATCCACACACAAAGTTAAATTGTTCTTCATCAAATTACAAAACTTTTGCTCATTGAAAGATACTGTTAGAATGTAAAGAAGATATATGGATGTCAAAGAAGCACATGAGAAAGGTGTTCAACATCATTATGTTGTCAGAGAAATGCCAATTAAAATCACAATGGGTGGCCACTATATATCTTTTAGAATGCGTACATTAAAATACATACCAGGTGTTCATGAGGATGTGCAACAACTGGAACTCTCATATATTACTGTTGGGATTGCAACATGATACAGCCACTTAGAAGACAGTTTGGCAATTTCTTTGTAAGTTAAACATACACCTATCATATGACTCAATATTTGTTCTAGAGAAATAAAGTTCACACCAAAACTTGTGTACAAATGTAGTAATAGAGTTCAGGATAACCAAAATCTGGAGAGAACCCAGAATGAGTGGGTGAATGGATAAACTGATTGTATATCCACACAGTGGGATACTATTCAGCAGTAGATAAAGAAGCAAACTTTTTTATACATACAAAAAATGTTTGGCCAGGTGTGGTGGCTTACGCTAGTAATCCCCTCACTTTGGGAGGCCGAGGTGGAAGGATTGCTTGAGTCCAGGGGTTTAACACCAGCCTGGGCAACATAGTGAGACCTCATTTCTATAAAAGTAAAAAGATTAGCCAGGCATGATGGCATGCACCTGTAGTCCCAGCTACTTAGGAGGCTGAGGCGGGAGGACTGCTTGAGCTCAGGAGTTTGAGGCTATAGTGAGCCATGATTATGCCATTGCACCTCAGCCTGGGAGAGAGAGTGAGATCTCAACTCAAAAAAAATAAACAATAAGAAAAGATGATTCTCAAATGTAGTGTGCTAAGTGCAAAAAAGCCATTCTTGTGATTACATGTTGTATGATTGCAGTATATAACATTATGGGACGGTCAGTGGTTGCTAGCAGTTATGGGAAAGGGGAGGGTCTGAGTTAAAAAGGGTGTTGGAATTATTCTGTACCCAGTTTTTGGAGGTGTTAACAAGATACTATTCATATGTTAAAACTCACAGAACTTTAATAAAAGTGAATGCGAGGGGGGGTTGGAAAAAAAAAGTGAATGCTACTGTATATAAATTTTAGGCTCAGCCTATAATCCCACGTCTTTGGGAGGCTGAGGTGAGTGGATTGCCTGAGCCCACAGGTTTGAGACCCGCCTGGGCAACCTGGGGAGACCTCACCCCTACAATAAATAAAAAAAATTAGCCGGGCGTGGTAGCGCGTGCCTGTAGTTCCAGCTACTTGGAAGGCGGAGGCGGAAGGATTGCCGGAGCCCAGCAGGTCAAGGCTGCGGTGGTCGGGAGCGGCCACTGCACTCCAGTCTGGGCGACAGAGTGAGACTCCAACTCAAAAAAAAAAAATTTTTTTTAAGAAATAATAAAAATACTTCTTATATACATTTGTCAAAGCTTGTTCATACACTTAACATTTGTACATTTCACTGTCTAAATTTTGCCTCACCTAAAAATAAAGAATTATAAACAAACAAACAAAAAAGTAAGTGTTTGAAGGCTGGGAGAGAAACACTTAGCTGTTCTGATTAGAAAAATTTTACCCTAAGGTTTGAAATATATAAATTTTATTTATTATGGCAAGGATCCATTTATTTTTCTATTTAGGAGATTACCATGTCTATTTCCTTGACAATCTATTGTTGATTCACTGACTGTTTCTTCTCAATAATGATAGATAGTTTCTGGCCACAAACTAGATAAGAGCTCTTTTGTAATCTTTTTTTCTATCACATCAATTCAGATTTATCCTGTCTCCCTTGTCTTTGCCTTTTGCTCACAATTCTTTATCTCATCTGTTGGCAAGGGGAAAAATCAAGTTAGGGAAAAATGTGTTTTGAGTGTTCTCTATGAATTTGTCACATTCAAGATTTAATCATTCACTAATTATTTCTTGACTAGCCAAAGCAATTTATACTGTATTAGTTGTGATAATCTTTGGACCTTATGAAACAAACTAGCAGGGGCTTTATCATAAACATCATAGACCATTTGCGATTCTATGGATTGAATGGATATATGTATTTTAGTACTCTGCTGTAGGTGACAGTAGATGATGTCAGATTAAATTTAAATTGATCTCTTCTCAGTGTTTATCTCTGGAGCATGTGCAATTACTTCAGCACCAGAGAACCTTTCAGAGGCATTCTGTCAATACAGCTACCTGACAGTCATTTGTATTTGTAAACTGTGCATTTGGCACCTGCTGGTCTCTGTTGCATTGGAGCTAGTGGGGAGCCAAAATGGGTGTACAATGAAGTTATCGGCTAGTACATCTCAGTGGGAGTTATTGAAGGGAAGAAACAGCACTTCCGGGACCTCAGGAGAGGAAAAAAAGAAAGAAACTGGTAATATTAACACAAGCCAGCTATTCTTTGCTACCAAGAAATAATGATTTAAAAAGTCAATCACTTCTACCCAAGGAATTAAAGTGTGTGTGGACCCGCATTTAAATTTTTGTAACAGATATGAAAAACATAAGTGTTTATAATGAATTTGTAAAGAATGAAGATTTCAATGAGAAGACAACTTACATGAGCAGAAATATAAATTGAAACAAGTAATAGAAAAAAATGCTTAATTTCTGAAAAATGTAAATTAAAATATAGGTATATTTTAATTATCAAATTAACAAAATAACAAAGTAGATAAATAGCAAAAATTGATGTTTTATGGGCATAATTTCCCTACACTTTGTCAATAGTTCTTACTCAACCCAGTAATCCTACTTTATTGGATACAATTCAAGGAAGTAATTACAAAGTAAAAAATCCTGATGTATGTATGAATCTTTCTAGCTCAGTATGGTCTGTTCTACTACAGTGAATGTTTGTGGACTGCAAATTTGCTCATATATGATTGGTAATTAATAGAATAATGTCCATAGAAAGGTAGAGTTGTGTTGGTTTATAGATTATTTTCCTCAAAATGTTTTGAAGCCACCAGAGTAAGCTTTTTCGCAGTTAAAGAGAATGCTGTAGGAGTATATGAAGAACTCCAAAACAAAACAACCAAAAATCCTGGGGAAGTACTCATAAAGTGTGGTTCAATGATCTTGAAAAGTGCTTTGTTACTCAATGAAGCTGCACATATAGTTGAGGAAGTTGTGAAGATATTTCCCCTGTTGTGTAGGAAAAAGCATGAAAAAGCTACACCCTGGTTCAGATTCATATGATGAAACTGGTTCTTACTGGCAGTAAATGCCCTCAGAGACCTGCATCTCAAGAGGACTCACAAGGTCCTGGTTAAGACTGACTAGGTTTAAATGCTGGTAGATATGGAACAGTGTCAATATTCTTGTTATGGGTAGTTCTTAGTAGTGCTTTGGTTACAGAGCTGGATAGTTTTAAGTCACTAATCCCAACACTGTTTTTTTCCCTGGGCTGTATATATATATATAGGAAACTATATAAATGTCCAGCGATAAGGAATGGTTAAGTGCATTTGGGTACAGCATATTGATGGACTATAAAGTGTCTTTTAAAAATGAGCACAGACAATTTTCTCTGAAACAAGTATAAGAATTAGTACAGAAAATTAAGTATCTAGATACCATGATTACAACTGTGTAAAAATATTTTTGACATATGCCTGGTCTGCAATAGTTGTGGTAGGATGGTGGGATTGTAGGTTTAAAAAAAATTTTTTTAAATATTATAAGGTTGGTAGAATAAAGATAAGTCTATTTTTAACACTGTAAGTTAAATTTTATTTTACATATTTTATATAGAATTCCTGGAAAACTCAAGCAATTTGTATTTGACTTACATTCTGGAAAACTGCACAGAGAATTCCATCATGGACCTGACCCCACCGATATAGCCCCAGGAGAGGTAGGACTCTTGTTTGTTTTAAAGATATTCTGAGTAAACTCCAGAAAACACAAATTATACTGCTTTTTAATTTTAAAAATTTTAGGCCTTCAGAAGAGTGAAAGATTATAACATAGTTTCTTTTTTTTTTTTTTGAGTTGGAATCTCACTCTGTCACCCAGACTGGAGTGCAGTGGCCGCTCCCGGCCACCACAGCCTCGATCTGCTGGGCTCCGGCGATCCTTCCGCCTCAGCCTTCCGCCTCAGCCTTCCAAGTAACCGGAATTACAGGCATGGGCTACCACGCCCGGCTGATTTTTTGATTTATTGTAGAGATGAGTTCTTGCTGCCCAGTTGGGTCTCGAACCCGCGGGCTCAGGCAATCCATTCACCTCAGCCTCCCAAAGGCAGGGGATTACAGGCTGAGCCACTGAGCCCGGCTTAGTTTCTTGATTATATAAACTAAGACGGTCTAAGTATGACCTCTGTGGAATATGGTGATAAAAGGGTTAAATATAGTCGGCTTCAAATAGAAATAGGAGATGGAAACCGGAAGTAGACATATCAGTGAAGAAATCAGCAGATTCTAATAATTGTCCAAGCCTTCCTCTGTGGTTGAAAGATTGACCATGCTATAAAGAAGTAATGATTTATTTAGTGTTTTTGCTAATCCATTCTGAGGGCCTTCATGAATATAGTATTCATAATGCTCAAAACTTATGGTTTAATACAGCTTCCTCCTTTGTGATTTAGAATGCTTGATAACTCAAAATTTTATATGTAGTCTATATAAATATTTGTTCAGCTGAGAATTTTACTGTTTCTGCCTTGTAATTTCTGTTACAAGTAATTTTTGCATTCCTACTTTACTAAACAGCCCTAAATTTGCATTTTGATGCATTATGATTTCTATCATGTCTATTACTATGATACTAAGACGGAAGATGATATGTATCCAGACCCTTTATTTCATATGTTCAGAATTCAAATCCACTATTTTGCTCAAAGAATCTCCATTTATAAAAGGAAAATAACTGAGTGAATTTTTCTTTACCTTAAATATAAGAGTTAGATTAGGTTTAAAGTCAAGTGTTCCCCTTTAGGAATCCAGTGACCTGCTTTTTCCTTGAAAAAGATGTCAGACTTTTCTTTAATAATTAAGCATCTATAGAAGGATGTAAACTTGTTGTTGGCTATAACCCAAAGGTGACTGTTTTCCTCAGAAAAAAGTCTGCTTAGTATTTTATCAAAGTAGGGAAAAAATATAGTTTACTATTATTTTATTTTATTATTTGTTTCAGTTTTCTTCATTAGACAATGAACTTGCATTTTATTTATTCCCTTTGTGTACTAATACACAGTGGGCACCAAATAAATGTTTTTGTATAGTAATATAGTTTCAACTTCATCTAAACATATATGTCAGGAAAAAAAGGTACTGGAGAAGAGGAACATGACAAAATCAAGTAGTAAGTTTGTAGACACATTACTTCCTGTAATAATGTGTCATTATAGATAGTATGTAATATATGTACTATGTGCCTATGTTAACACAGGGATATTGAAGTGATGACAGTCAGGCCTACTCTTGAGGAGCTCATGGTGTGGAAATAAAGAGTAGATCACATTACCTTTTCTTTATAGTTTTTGGAAGTCACTCATTGTTTCACTTTGTATTTTTGTCTACTATTGGTATACAAGTAAAATATAGAAGTGAATTTCTTTCAGTACTGAAGTGTTTGTTTTCCTCCTTATTTCAACTAAGTTTTAATAATTTCTAGCATCCAGATAACTGATAAGAGCTATATCGTCAGAGTAGGTGCCTTTAATTCTCTCAGCAGTCATGTGTAAGAGGGAAGTGTTGGGCCAAAGTAGTCAAGACTATGCTGCCTCTATAGACTAGTCTAGAAAAGCACCCAGGTGTCAGGTGTTTTGGTTCTTTCCACCATACCTCAGCAAATGTAAGCAAGAACATAGATGTTGACCCTGTGGCAGCCTGGCTCTGGAGAAGCTGAGTAAGGGCATTTGAAATGAGGAAAGCAAGATTTCACATTTAACTCTTGTCTTAGGCATGTAGTTGCTATCTCTTACTGATTAATAAGCAAATAATTATGGGGAAATATCATTCATCTAACAGTCATTTAAAATATTTTTGTGCTATAAAATATATTGGTATAAAAATGTTTTATTCTTTCTTTTGTAGCAAGCCCAAGATGTAGCAAGCAGTCCACCTGAGAGCTCCTTCCAGAAATTAGCACCCAGTGAATATAGGTATACTTTATTGAGGGATCGAGATGAGCTTTAAAAACTTGAAAAACAATTTGCAAGCCTTTCAACAGCAGCATCAACTTATGTGGTGGAAATAGTAAACCTATATTTTCATAATGCTATGTGTATTTTTATTTTGAATAAACTGAAAGAAGTTTTGGGTTTTTAATTTTTTTCTCCCCCTGACTCAAAATGCATTGTCATTTAATACAGCCAGTTTAAAAAAAAAAAATCTGCTAGGGTTAAAAAAATAAAAATCAGAGGCCTAGCTATGCTTTAAATCTGTCCTGTAAAATTTTATAAATCAAGTGAAAGGTGACATTGCCAGAAACTTACCATCCACTTGCACTACTAGGGTAGGGAGGACTTAGGGGTGTTTCCTGTGTAGTAAGTGCTTTTCTTTCTTTTCTTATCGTATGATCAATTCTGTTGGTATTTTCAGTCTCACATTTCTAAAACTAATGGGATATATATTCTGGATACTTGGGAGGGGAATAAATTACAACTTTTACACTGTGTACTGTGTTTTACTGATTGGTTGGATATTGCTTATGAAAATGCCATAGTTGTATTTTTTGGATTTTTAATGTGTAACTTAAACATACTCTGAAGCAGAGGAGAGTCATGAGACAGAATATTTGACCAGAATTGCCCTTATGAATTAAGAAAAAGAAAATGAAAGTATTATTAAATGCATGTGTTTGTCTTTAAAAGTGGCATATGGATGGCATTTAAAACTCTGAATGAATTATACCTAAGTCTGGGAAAGGGAGACAGCAGTGGAACAGGTTACCAGTATTGAACCAGATGACTTTTAAGGCTCTTTCTATCAAGAGACTTCAATTTCCAAAGAGAAAAACCAGCAGAGAAATTGTTGCGCTTCAATAATTTTAACCTCTTTCTGTCTTACAGAGTTTTGTTATAGTTGCATGGATCAAAACAAAATAAGGAACATGTGTATTTACTTTTTTTTCCCCATTGTAAAATTGTTAGACCCTACCCCCTCTAGAGTCCCTGATTTCCCAGGCCTGCAGTGTACAGCAAGATGGGTCCCTGTGCCAGGCCTCAATACTGCCAGGGAGTAAAACCAGAGGGAAAGGACCCTCAGCGTCATATCAGGAAGCCCAGTGCCAGAGGACAGACAGGTTCAAAATTGGCTTTTCCTCGGGCCTGGGTTGGTGCTATAGGCCAAGGGTCATTTTATACTTGGGGCAAAAATCAATCCCAGTTTGGGGAAAGATTATTTTTAAGCTTAAAAGGCTGACATGTGCCATTATATGTAGTATGTAATATATGTAACATCTTCCAATTCTTTTAAAATAAAGTTAATATTTATAATGGATATTTAATGATTGTTATTTTTAAAAATCAGCCTATAATTCCTAGTTATGCATGATTTATCCAATAGTTTCCATAGTTTTATTCAGAATAATTAATGTTAATAAGGTGATATGGGGCTTATCTAGTATTTTACCAGGTTGTGACTAGAAAAGTAGGACAGAGCTTTCTAGAGGCTGGACCTTAGTTCTCCTTATTGCTCTTAATCAATAACTTGAAGTTAGAGTTGTGATCTTCAGGTCAGATGATGGACCAAATCTGTAAGGGTCAGAATGAAAATTTGCAAACATTCAGCAAGTTGGCACACAAGACCTAAAGCAGCACATGCAGCAAGCTAGAATAAGTTCATAATCCTATAGTCAGATTTGAAGAAATAATAAACAAAAGATACCACTCAAGTATTAGATTTCAGAGAGCTTGAGAAGAGTTATGAAAAAGGCTTCAAGGAGCTCATATTCAATGTGTTCTAAAATAACAGAGCTGCTGTTTAAAAAGTGAGTGAATTTGAGGATGTATTACTTAGTGTTCATACATATTAGGACTTAGGCTCTAGTCCTGCCATTGTCATTATCTTCTGTAGACTGTGAAACCATTGAGGACTGGAAACTGAATTCTGTGTCTACAGCTCTAATGCCTAGCATTTCTGGACACTTGTATGGTCATCAGCAAACTTGTACTGAATAAATGAGAAGCAAAGTGAGCTTGGTAGTTTTTGTCCCCCTGAGGCTTAGCACTCATCAGAACTTGGTGCCCCATTTTATAAAAAGTCATTAACAAGCTTAAGTCCTTTCCATGAAAGGACAGCTAGGATAAGAAGAAACTTTTAAACTGAGATGTTAAACCTGTTTTGCTTGAAGACTTGGGTCTGAAAGCAGTCTTTAGCTATTTTGAAGGACTGTCATTGTCTGGATCCTAGGGATGAAACTAGGAATTGAGGAAGTCATAGGGAAGCAGATTTCAGTCTCACATTCATCCAGTGCAAGTTTTTGGGTGCTTCAGTATGTATTGGATGATAAAAAGATGAATAAAGCATAATTTCTACCCTCGAGTTGCTTACAGTCTAGTTAGGCAGATGGATGTCTAACCAATGACTGTAACAGGTGTTACAGATGTAAAGGCAGACAAAAACAGAATAATGGGGCCTTAAAGGAGCACTCAGCTCCAGACGTTCCATTGAGGGGATTATTTGTATGCTGAGCCTTTTTGTTTGTTTGTTTGTTTGTTTTGGAGTCAGAGTCTCGCTCTGTTACCCAGGCTGGAGTGCAGTGGCATGCTCATGGCCACCCTAGCATTGACCTGCTGGGCTCAGGCGATTTTTCCACCTCAGCCTTCCAAGTAGCCGAAACTACAGGCGCAGGCTACCATGCCTGGCTAATTTTTTGATATATTGTAGAGACGAGGTCTCACCAAGTTTCCCAGGTTGGTCTTGAGCCCCTGCACTCAGGCAATCCTCTCGCCTCAGACTCCCAAACGATGCTGAGCTTTTAAAAGATGAAGTAGGTATTCTTCAGGATGTAGGGATCTGGTTGGGGAGAATTATCTGAGCAAGGGTATGAAACAGCATAACGCATTAGAGAAAAGTTCTTGTAGTAGGGCTGTTGCACTGGGTGTTGGGAGGAAATGAGACCTGGTCATGCAGGGCCTTGTATGCCAAGCTGAGGGGTTTGTACTATATTTTGTAGGCGGTGGAGAACCTTCCACAGGTTGTAAGCAGGGAAGTATGTTCGTAGTTAAGTTTGAGAAAGCAAGCTGTGGAAGCCGGTCTGAAATTTAGATTTCTTCTCTCCGAACCACTAATCAGAGAAGGTTACAGGTCGAAGTGGCCCCGGTTTATCCAGCCTCAGGCTCCCCAGCTGTGAGGAGAGGCTGCAAGACCAGACCGAAGAGCAGAGTTCAGTCACCACACCAAAAGCAGGCCTGTCTTCTTCTCAGCCAGCTGTCTTTTCCAGGTTTTCAAAAATTGTTCCAGTTGTGAGGGGGACCATAAAAGGATGAAAACTTTTATGTGACATTCTAACAATGTTTTAAAGCTAAATGAACCTAGAGAGTGAGCTAGAGAATGGGCATCTAAAGCCTCTCATGGAAAGTTCTCTGAAGAAGTCAGGTTGTCAAAGATCTGTGCAAAAGAAGGAAAAACTGGCATGATAAAAGCTACAAAGAGTGAAATTAAAAAACAGTCTTTGACGTGTTAAAGCTTAGAATGAGCTTAAATTTATAGAAAGTGCTAACGTTGTCAAGAATGTTAGTTTTTTGGTTTTGGGTTTTTTTTTTTTTTTAACCTGAATCAGGGCAAAAAGAATAATGGATAAAGGAGTGTAATGGATTGACAATCAGGAAGAGCAGAATAACTAAATTTTTATTTTTTCTTTGACAAAGATATAGTCTGGCTGGACAAATATAAAATGACAGAATTGCAAAAATTAAGAAGTAAAAACAATTCTTGCCACCTTGAATGATTTCAAGGCTGTTAGGCCCACACTTCTGTATCCCAGAGAGCTGCTGGAAGTTGCAAATGCTTTCTTTGAACAACTATTGGGAATTTTTGAGTAAACCATGGAGAATGTAAGGTGACAAAAGACTGGAAATGGGCAAATGTATTCCAGTTTTCAAAATAATTATAGTTAATAGCTTTAGCTATTTTTCTAAAATAAAACCTCATGAACCAAACAAGTGTTAGTAGCCTGTATTTGGGGGACAGATTTAAATAGGTGTAAAGAACAAAACAATTCTAAATTTTTAAACCTAATATTTAAAGGCCCTGAAGACAATAAGTTGTTTCAGGACTTAAATTGTTTTATGCTGATTATAATTGTTTTATGTGTTCATTAAAACAGGTTGGATAGGACCTCTGCTTAGCAACTGTTTTTTAGCTGTGTTTGAATTTTTGTATGTATTTCCAAGTAATAAAACTATATTTATAAAATATTTCCATATTTGAGACTTTTTACTAATTCACTTTGTCGAATAATATCTTACTGTGTACTCACAATTAGGTGACCAGTCACTAGCTTTTCTAGGTTTAAAGTTATCTCGCAGATCATTTAATTGTACTTAGAATGGGAAGCTGTGTGAATCCATGTGTGGCTCACTCAAACGCAGCCTTTCGTGGAACCCTCAAGGTTCCTTCTTGAGCACACTGGGAGGCTGGTCTGCCCTTAGGCAGTACGTTCTGGAGTCACTGGAAGAGGAAAAGTGCAGTTTACAAATTGCTTCCCTATAATACTCCCTCTCCCCCAGCGTTGCTTAGTTAAATTCTTTCTACTCATCCTTCAGTGCCTAATATAACGGTCGCTCCCTATGGTCTCACAACCCTTTCTGTATTTGGAGTATTCAGTCTAATTCAGAGTTGGGGGTGTATGGTTCTCTTCCTGATCCCCATGTGAATGCCCTGAAAGCAGGAAATTCTGTTTGTAATCCCAGCATTTGGTGCACTGAAACTCAGGAAATCTCTGATGGGGAAAAAAAGACGCTAAATTAAATAATAAGTCTGTAACAGCTGCTGGAGAGGGTGTGGTGAAAAGGGAACACTTCTACACTGTTGGTGGGAGTGTAAACTAGTGCAACCTCTGTGGAAAGCAGTGTGGCGATTCCTAAAAGCTCTAAAAATTGACCTTCCATATGACCCTGCAGTCCCCCTAGTGGGAATATACCCTGAAGAACTAAAATCACTCTATAAAAAAGATACCTGCACACGTATGTTTATCGCAGCGTTGTTCACAATAGCAAGAACCTGGAAACAACCATGCTGCCCATCAAAAGAGGACTGGATTAAAAAAATGTGGTACATATACACGATGGCATACTACGCAGCCATAAAAAAGAACAAAATCATGAATTCCGCTGCAACCTGGATGGAACTAGAGTCTATAATACTGAGTGAACTCTCACAGAAACAAAGATCCGAGTATCACATGTTCTCACTCATATAATGGACCTTGAACATCCAATGCAATACTATAAGAAAATGACTGACGGTACTGGGAAACTATGGGGGGGAGGGGGATGGGATTAACAGCAAATATCTGTCGGGGGATGGGAAAACGCCTCTTATCAACAGGGTGCCTGAATGAAACATAATTGTACACCTAACCCTTAACTGTACCCCACAAAACCATAATAAAAAATACTGATTAATGAAAAAAAAAAAAACTCTACAAACCTAACTATGCATATCTTAGAAATTTTTACCATTATCCAAAATAAAGTTACTGGCATGAGAAAAAAAATAATAAGTCTGTGAACAAATGAATGATCAAAGGACAAGAAAGAATCACCATAAGTGGAATGGATTCTGCTGGCTAATCTGCAAATCTCAATTCCTATATCCGGCTTTTTAAGGTGCATCTAGTCACCTAATCCTAATCTGCCTTTAGGGTCCTAAGGATTTTTGTCTAGAATAGAGTAAAATCTTGCAATGCACCCCCGTCCAGAGATACATAACTATCAATATGACACTTGAGTGCCTTCTTGGGCGATGCAGAGTTCTGCAGAGGTGCTGGCAAATTTCCCATGAATTCCACATATTTGCTGCGAGACAAGCCAGACCCCCGGTTTAGTTAGCCCCGTAGAAGGACAGACAATGGTGAGTTGACAAAAATGCCATGTGTGGTTTACAAAGCATACATTTACCATTCAGCAAGCAGTAAGTATCTACCATTGCCAGGCTGAAGATCCAGCAGTTAACAAGAGACTGTCTCTACCATCAAGGAGCTGAAAGTTGACCGAAGGAGCGAAACTGATGAGTAAAAGGGGGGATTATCACAGAATGTTGTTGGTGCTATGATGTGAGTTAGCCGCAGAGAACATAGGAGTGTGTACAGCCTTGGGCAGCAGAGGATAATTTCTAGAGGAAGAAGTTTCTTGACCAGGAACGGAAAGAACTATACTTTCCTAAACACGGCAGGTTCCTCTCGTCCAGAATCATAGTAATAGAGGCTGCCATTATTCTATTATCTTAAGGTAATAGTAAAGTATTGTTTAGGTGTTGCTGGCCTGCCGTTTCTC